TAAGCTCCACACCACCGGGTGCCTGCTCTAGTCTTTGATCCCCTCTTAACTAAACTCAAAGCCTCTACCACCTCCCAGCCTCCAGGACCCACCAAGGCAGCAGGGTGACCATGGCTGTCGAAGCCACTCTGACACCCCTGTCCTTTGCAGTCACCTCAAGGCCATAGCCCTTTCGCAGGACTTTCCCGCCTCTCTCCTGGACTTGTGCCCGGCTTGCTCAGGCTGACCGCGATGCTCTCCCGGCACACAGTTCAGGTTCAGTCGTCAGCACAGGTCAGTGGGCTGGGATGTTTGTGGATAAGCCTGAACCACAGCTCCTGCCACAGAACGGTCTGCTCCCCTGGGTCTTCCTGTCATCCCATCCTCTAGTTTAATCATAGTAGGAGTAACGATCCCGAACACTAAGCAATGCTTCTCTGAGATGGATTTCAGCGGTTGCATATACATGTTCTCCCATCTGACCTTGGAGCAGTTCTGCAATGCAGGCACTTGGATTATCTCATTTTACACATAGAAAAGAAATCCAGACTCAGAGATAATTTCACGTAAATTGCCCACACTCACATCTTGAAAGGGGTAGGGCTGTTTGAAACTAAACCTGTCTCCTTCCAAGGCGTGGTTGGGTCAAATACAGCCGCGTCTGGGTGTAACCTGCTTAAAACCCATGGATTTCAAGGATTCCCAGAGCTGAACATAGGTTGAAGCACCTTTTCCAGAAACACTTCCTTCCCCCAAACAGAAAACATACGAGGTCGCCCTTCCTTCCAGGTAATGTTTTCGTACTAACCAGTAGCTCTAGATGAGCTGGTTAGGGAGGGTTCCAGATGACTCCGTCTTCATGTTTGAGAGCAGCAACACCTACACTTCCTGTCTCTGCCTCAGCCAGCCGTCGGCCCAGCGGAGGGCCTCTCCAGCCCTGTCCCCTCAAGTCACAGGAAAGGCAACTCCAACAAGACGTCTGCTCAGCAATCTGATGACCACTAGAAGGGCCCCACATCCCTACCTCGAAAAGCAGGAATTGAAATGTTGGTTCATTCGCTCTTCACCAAGCATCTTTTTCTGGGTTCTGGAGATAAAACTGTGGGGAAAAAAAAATAGGCCTTTTAAAAGCCTGTAATAGCCTATAATATTACCAGAGCTGCCTAATGTCTCTCTCTATATATCCTCAGCCTGCCTCTCCAACCATTTTCCATACTTCTTTTTAAAACAAAATCTAATTGGATTATATCCTTCTCAAAACCTTCAGTAGCATCCCGATGTCCTTAGGAAACATTCCAGACTTCTGAAACGGCTCACGAATGGCCCCATGAAATGACTCTCGGCCCCCTCCCATGTCATGTCATGCTGTGCTTCTGCACCACCCTGGGACAGTGTCTTCTCTCTCATTAATTTATTCCTCTGCCTTCACCTTGGCTCAGCCAGGTCTCTATTGACCAACACTCACGGAGCCCTGTGGATGTCACCCTCAATACTGGAGGTCAGAGGAACGTAGTACCCTTGGAGGCCTACTTCCTCCTACAAATACGTGACTCTCACTGTGGATTGCCTGCCATGATCTCTGCAGACCCCTCATGCCTGCTCTCAACTGTGCAGTCCTGAGAATTTCAGAGATTAAGTGTGCTCAACTACTGCTGCTTGTAAGTTGTCCCCAACAAGTCCTAGCCTATGTCTGGACCACACCAAGAACACGGTGCGTGCATGCAACTCTGCTCCACAGTATTCCCAAGCACTTGTTTAAGTCTTCCAGCCCCGAGTGGCTGTAACCTCCATCAGCACCGGGGACTTGGACTTGCTCACTGCAGTCCCCAAGTCTAGCACAGAGTGTGGCATTTATTGAGAATCAGTCAGTGTCTCCCAAATGAAGAATCCTCCTGCAACAACTTCAGAGACACTCTAGAACAGCACGTTCTGCCACAGTTGTTCTTGTGTCCTTTCCTGCTAGACTAAGTTCTGGAATGGCCCAGCGATTTACCTTTATTTTCAATTCTACACGCCCGCTGCAGTACCTGGAACACCCCTGCTCAGTAAATGTGGAGCAGGGAGTGAAGGAATGGACTCACTCGAGGCTTCCCGCTCGCTCCCAGGCCTCCTCTGCAAAATGAGGGGAAAGGAGAGGACCTCCACAGCTTTCACCTCCGCCGCTCAGTCTCCCTGCCACACAGCCGTGTTTCTGAGTCCTTGAAACCTGGAGTCCTGGCTGCAGCAGTCCACCAAAGTCACATTTGCTCGAATAGAAGAACAGCCCCAAGAAGAGAGTTGGGGCCCCGGACTGGAGTGTCTTTTCAAAAAATTTAAAGTCATATTCTAAAGGTAAAGGGCATAAGGCTTTGGGCAAGTGGCTCAGGAAACCCTAACAAAACCACGGTCTAGATGCAGTTTTTGACCACTTGGCATTGTTAACAAGGCCAGCTAAGAAAGTGGTTTTTGAACTATGTTCCATAGAGTTTCTCTGGTGGGGAGAAATGAAGTAGAGGTTTCCTAAAAGTTTATGTTTAAACACAGGTCTCTGCAGCCACGATCGATTCATAGATAAATAGATAGAAGATGTTTGTCTTTTTAAAAATCAACCATTGTTCTGAAATAGTAGTGAGACTGTGCACTTTTCCCTGCCAGAACCATATTTCACAGTATTACAATGCCGCTGATAGATTGTAGGCCTCATAATATTTTTTTCCTTAATTTGGTCACTTCTCAGATTATCATTCAATTTTTTAATTTAAAAAACTTTGAATGTTTTTGTTGTCCGGGTTTGTGAGCGCCCTAAGAGGTTGCTTGAGCTAACCAGAGGCAGAAGCAGGAGCCAGTTTACCAGTCCTTACAGGAGGCTGTGTATGTCCATCTCCTGATGACGGGGTGGAGGCCACATCTGCTCATCTCCAAATCCCCGTGGTGTCTAGTAGAGAACTCAGTAACTAGGAGTTTAGTAAAAAATCATGAAACAGCCAGGCACGGTGGTACACACCTATAATCCCAGCAGCAAGACGCTAAGCAACTCAGTGACACCCTGTCTCTAAATAAAATACAAATTAGGGCTGGGGTGTGGCTCCATGATCCAGTGCCCCTGAGTTCAACCCCTGGTACCAAAAAGAAAGAAAGAAAGAATTCACCTGGCCAAAGTGATAGGGTGGTTTTCAGCAGAAATTGCAGAACCAAGATGGCTCAGGCAGAGAGGGTGTTGTTTTACAGTTGGAGAAAACCTGACCTAGGCACCCAGCTATACGCTTAAGTCCCAGGTATCCACACAGCATGGGGAACTCACTCTGCTGGACACACAGGCCCAAGATTCCTGCGCTGTCACGGCCCTGGGCCTGGCCAAAGGGAAGGAGACCTCAGACGTGGCCGGGCCTTAGCTCATTGGTCTGCACAGCACCCCAGTGAGGCCTCTGTCACCCTCCTTCACCTGGGGAGCCACAGACATAGGGAGACAAGTTCTTGCACCCACCTGCTCCCTTCTGCAGGCCCTCCACTCACCCCCCTTGGGCTGGAATTCACCAAGACCTGTGCCCTCCCTGTCAGGAAGGGCGGAGGAAGCTTTATATTTGTGGGAATTTCAGCCAGCGTCCAGCAGTGTCCAGGATAGCTGGAGGACATGCAGGAGTGGCCATCCTTGGAGCCATGGCTTGGCCTCATGCTTTAACCTACCCTGGTCCTTGGATACCCGCTGTGGCTGCTTAGCAGGAGGGCGTGCTGGGCCAGGGAGAACCGGGGGCTCCGTCGGGCTCTCCCTCCTCCCCCTTGGGCCTGTGCGTCCCCCGCACTCCTTTCCAAGCCCCTGCCTCATCTCAGGATGAATCCTCTAGGCCCATCTGTAGCAGCTGGCCCAGACCTTGTCCCCTCCCTCCCCAGGGTCCCGTCCTGAGCACCTTGCTAGGTCCCCTGGATGGAGGACAGGCTGGCAGCACCAGTGAAGCCTAATGCTGGGACCAAGCAGAGGATAAGAGGAAGCGGCAGCCGTGCTGGTGTGTGCCTGTGTGTGCACACCCATGCACACTCAGAGAGTGTGTTCACGTGGGCACAGGTGTCTTGTGTGCATGCGTGTGGGTCTGTGAGCTGTTACTCTGGGGCTGATCTTCAAGCTCTTCCCTCAGCCCTCCAAACTCCCTCCCGCTCTGTCAAGGATCTGCTTAGCCCCTGCTCCGAGATGCCTGCGACCACCGGCCTCTCCACACCAGGCCCCCCTCCTCCTGTCCTGCTTATGTCTTCCATACACTTTCCCTGCCAGACACCATATTCCACAGACGCGCACGCCCGCAGGTCTTGTGGGTTCATGGTCCCCATCTCTCCCTTCGTGTTCGTCTGATACAAGGAAG